CTTTGACAAGCTGGGCCTCCCGCTGGTCTTCATGAAGACACTAGGAATTAGAAAGTTCATACATGTAGAGACTGCAAAGATCATTGCTTCTAGGTTGGAGGCCATGGCTATTGGGTTGGAGGCCGTCGCTATCAGGTTGGAGAACAGAGCGACCTTTAAAAGAATTACTTTTTCGGAGTACTTTGATCATTTAGCATTTGGCACCTGGAAGGTCTTCTTCTCGGTGTTCCAACCACGACTCCAACCTGTCGGTCTGGAGATGACACGATACACGGCCAATTGATGTTGATAGAAGGCGAAGCAAGTTGGACCGGCAACCCTCTTCATGTGTTTGTTGAGACGGGTGAGCGTGTGCAGTTTCTCGAATTTATGCCAGTGCAATTGAATTAAAGAACGAACAAGCGGCCTCGCTTTGCAAACTCGCTGTCCTCTTCGCACCGATATCCTGAATAGTAGCTTCTTGCTACTAGTATATAGCAAGGTGCCTTATTCCTTACTAGTAGTAACAAGATACTAGTAGCTCCTGGCATTACTACTAGTAGCAAGAAGCTACTAGGAATAAAAAGGCCCCTTGCTACTAGTAGATTCGAGAAATGCTGGCGCATTTGGCTTCCAAGGCTCGGTGCCTGGCAATCCATGCTGGCCACATGAACATGATATGCTCAAATGACCAAATCCTTGATCTAAATGCTTTCCGGCAATGTCATCTACCAACACGAACAGGCTTTTCACATCGTTGCCGCTGAAATGATAGTAAGCTCATTGGTATGTCCAGGTCATGCTATGCTCTTGCATCGCAAGCGCATGTTGTCGTGGGCTCATGGGCGTGCCGCAAATATGGCCACGCTTCATGCACTACTAGGAACAAGAAGCTACTAGGGGCTCCTGGCCTTAGATCACTGATGGTCCAAGAGTTGTCCGATCTTCCCACTTACAACTATATAAGTAAAACAAGAAGAAGCTCTACCCCAAACCGTGCAAATGACTGTCATGCCACTTGAACCAAGCAATTTGCATATATTTTTATTACGCCCGGGAAAAAATAACATGGAACCTGAAAACCACTGGATTGTAGTGTAGAGGAAAATAGTCCTCCAAAGGTCCATTTTCAGGTTCCATGTTGAATTTCCCAGGTACCATTGTCCATGTTTCTGAATAGGCTTTCTAAATCGCAGCCTGTGGACAACTGTTCTGGTCCCAGAAGCCGTAGGATAGCAATTCTTCTCCGAAATCACAAACTCTCAGTAGTCTCTCCACTTCCACAAACCCCAGATCCATCAAGCTCCTGTCATCTGAACAACGTCTTCCAACCAGAATTGCTGCACCTCAGGGCACCGACCGTACACTCTTCAAACCAGAAATGACTTCATCACCAATTCATCACCCCAAAGCAACCTAATTACCAAGTCACAAGTGGTTTCATTGCGACATATTGCGACCAGCGCCATCACCAAGTCCGCACACGTCTCTCTTGGACTCGATGACATTGGACACCAAAAACCGTGGATTGAGAAACCCAGCGAATGTGATTATCTACTCCTTCCGAACTGGAACCATCTCTACATATCTCTACGATCTACATCTATCTACCGCCTGAGTCCTGTTGCATGCTGGACTTCCCACAACACAAACCAAACTCCTTTGATTCCAAGTGAGCGGGCTCGCAGTCCTGTTTCACCAAGCAAACTTGCTATGATTTCCTGTTTCAAACACGTAGATTTGGGGCCATCGCTATGAGGTTGGAGGCCGCTTGCTTGTTCAAACACCCTGTTGACACTAGGGCTCCAACTGGGAAGGTGCGCCCAGGGATGCTCAGGACAGGCACTGAGCTGGGGCCTTGCTGGAGATCTCGATACATGCTACTCAAGTGAATGGAAAATGCAAGTTCTTCAGGCCATAATCTTCCGTCTTCACCCCCTCTTGTTGTTGTCAACGCGTTTTCACGCAGCCTGCGCCGTTCCTTTAGCCGAGAAACTTCCGAAGTATCGCACGAGCTTGTCGGTTTCCATGGTTGCCTTGGAAGCTTGGCCGCCTTTTTGCAGCGGCGTTGGCTCGACGTTTTCATCGCTTCGTGTTAGATGTGGCCAAATATGATTGAAAGATGGTGATAGGGGCTGTGGCCAGTGCAGAGAATGCTTCTGCCCAATGCACCAGTTGTTACAGGTGCTCGTCTAAATATGATAAATGATCATAAATGTGAGATGTGGCATGGCTGAACAGCCTCCCAAGAAATGTGTCGAGGCACTCGGTTTCCTGTTTATGGGACCGACAAAGGACAACGAGCTGAAAGAGCAAGTGAACATCAGGTCTATGGCAGCAATCTATGCAGGGGATGTCCAGGAACTTCGTCACCAACAACAAGGATGCAAAGCATTGTAGTGTACAGTGTATCATATACTCCAGCTTCAAACCACTGCAATGACGATGAGGTATGACCCTTGCAACTCACCAGCCGTTCACAATCGGATCAGAGTTTAGGACGCTGGACTCAAGGGTTCAGTCCAAGAACCTCAGCAAGGTGTTTACCTGTTTACTGACAAAGAAACAACACGGATGCTGGCGGATGTACTTCTGCTGAACATGAGTTTGGTTCTTTGGACACCAGTTAAAGGATCAACTGACTGCTCGCAGGTTCCACAGCAATAAATCACCGGCACGCCGGGCACGCAGATCACCTCGAAACACCTTCCTCGCACTGCCAAGCCACACTCATCAAGACCAATCGCAGATCTGGACGAGTCGTCCGGATCTGCCCTTAGTCGGACGGATCCATTTTATTTGGAAGATGTTCCAAGCAGATTTCCGTCTAACAACAGCAAAATCACCTCAGCCCGCTGCGGAGAAGGAGCAGGAGCAAGTCGCAGTCGGCACTCCGCCTGTAGCGAAAGAAGACTTCCAAGAACGATGCCTTTCAGAGGAATGCACACAGCACCAACAGCTCATGACTATGTGACCTTGACTATGGAATCTCGTGGTTGCTGATCCTCAGAACCTGCCTTCGAGGCAACTGGTTTTGCTTCTGCCTTGAGCCTGAGGGCAAGACTCGTGGATCTCATCGATGAAAATATGGGTCACCTGCCAAGCAATGGAACAACAACAAAACAAACTCTGATCCAAGGGTCAATGTATGTCAATGTTATTGAGATCAACGTAGGGCCTTGGGGGCAGCCAATTGAAACCATCCTATGCTGAAGGGAAGGCGTTCAGTTCACTGCTCTGTTTCACTTGAGAAGTTCCTTCTTCATGTGGGACCCTGGGTCTCTTCTCCTTTGGAGTGCTTTTGTGATCCGGCCTTCGACAGGGCTCCGAGGCCCTGTTGCATCTGCTTCAGCAAAACGCCCACCTTAGGCATGAAACCCCTTTCTAAACCGCTGAGTGAATCTCAAACGCCACAGTCCACTCAGGTTTACAATGTTTACAAGGTGCCTCATCATAAATCCATATAACATCATATAACCACCACCTCTCATTGTCATTGATGTGAATCTTTAGCTGTATCTTCAAGGGTTCAATCCCTTCAAGCCGTGGCTCCTCTTTGGCGCCCAACAGCTTTCTATTTCTAGGACGGGAATTCCATCAGAATCCGGTGAGGATTTGGTACTCCTCCGCTTGACTTTCACAGAGACCGCTCACCGCTCCAGGTGCCCGCTCCGTACAGAAGAGAAGCCGTGTGGAGCTCGAGACCTGGACGCATCGGACTGGAGCGAGTGTGCAATTGCTCGCTCCAGTGGTGTGCACCCCGGTGCGGTGAGCCGGTGCTACATTTTCTCAGCTTTTTCTTTTGGACTATGTTGATGAATTTAACAAATGGATCTACTTGCAAACTGGGTTTAGCTGTTCGCTTGCAAAACTTCTTCATCTGTTGGAGCTGGCGAAAGACCGGACCTGTGCTATGCTTGTTCAGCCCGGTTCAACACAAGTCGTAGTTCCACAGTTCCACCACTGAAGAAGAGAACATGAGGGACCTAGAAACCGCAAACTACAGTAAGTAGGTAATCGATTTTAATCAATTCAAACCATTCTCCCCCACGAATTCCCATCCACTTCTCACCACTGCAGCCTTCTTCTCCAAACGGATCCTCACACAAGTTGCTCAAAGCTACAGCAAGCTCAGATAATTACATCTGAAACAGTTCTGGAGCCTTCTTATGTATCCAGCTAGTGAGTGGATAAGCTTAGCCGTGAAGCGCACAATGAGCAAATCTTCGGGATACTATTTGTCAGGCCAACACCTTCCAAGGACGCTCACTCAAAATCATAAGCTCAACAAAAAAGCGCATGCACGTGGACCACTCATGTGGTTGGGCAACCTGCTTTGCGCCCATGGTGAAACAACAAAAACTAAAAAAACATCGAGGGTCAATCACCAAGGTTCGACCAAACGCACTGCTCCATGTGCTTCTGTTGAGCCGAGACTCTGATAGCCCACAAGTGAATCTCTGGATCCGGGCCCTCCAGAAGGATCCTGAGCGGGTGAACCCACCTATGCGGTGAGACCATCGATGAAACTTGCGAGCGAAAAGGCGACGGAGGATAGGACGCTCTTGACAATCTTGACAGCAGGCGACAGTACGAAGACATGAAAACAATCTCACTACTCACATCTACTCACTACCAGTCCGTTTTGCCGCGGCGAGATGAGCTATTGGCGTGGTCATTTAGAACCATTGGCGTGCCCTTCCGGGGCAATCTGAATCAAAGGCGCCCAGCCGTCGGTGAGGCGAATCTCTCAGAATAGGTCCGAACAGAATAGGTTCGATGTCAAAGAGAACTCAAGAAAAAGGCTTGCCAAGGGATTGGCTCGATATCTTTGTCCTTGTCGTGTACCACAAGCCATCATCAGATATGGAATCTATTGCAGAAATCTCCGAGCAGCCTCAAGACGTACTGGGACATGTTGCAAGTGAATTTTGACAAATCAACGTGCACATTGGAAACGGGCCCCCCGTGAATGCTGTAGCTACGGAAGGGCATCTAATTGCCGATCTCTCAGTCTTCTTCTAGTCTTCATATCGCAATCCCTTGGCAGCATCTTTCAGCACCGCAGCAACCTGCTCTCGCGTCAATCCTTGCAATTCGGGCGCAATCTGCCCAGCTGTGTGGAAGGCCTGGACCTGCTGGACCTGGGTTTGGGAGCACACAATTGGAGCCTGTGCTTGTGGCGCTGGAGATGGCATCACCGGCCAAATCCACTCCTGGTAGGGTGCTCTCTCAGATCAAAAGCATGTGTTTGGACTCCCACCGAGCTGAAAAGCACTAGGGGCTCCTGGCCTTACTAGGAGCAAGGAACTAGGAGCAAAGGGCATCGCTACTAGGAACAAGGACGCTACTAGTATCACCTGGGGCTCTAGCCATGATCCACCAACTAGTGGTCTGTGCAACTATAGCGTTAAAACACACAGGCAATGACCTTGAAGCAAATGTATCCACGGTAATTTCCATTGTTGAGTACCTGTTTGAGACTGCGATACTCATTTGATCACATTTGGAACTACCTTGCCTGGTATTGCATAGGCCATGTCCACATATAGGAATCCTGCGATGGCTGCATGTAGCCTTCACATCCCCATTGATTTCGCATCGCCATCTGCTCTGGAGGAGTCTGGATTTGGGGTGCATCCTGGGGCACTTGTGATCCACGCAAATGCTGGCGGATCTGCGCTGCTGCCTCAAAAGCCTGCTCACCTCGCTCTTGGTAATGCCGCAAAGCATTTGAGCCCTTTTGCCAATCGACACGCCTCTCTTGACGAGGCCGTTGCCAGTCTCGAACCTGACCTTGGCGACGGCCATAGTCCTGACCTTTGGCAAAGCGTCTCTGACCAAATGGAGCTTTCACATCCTTTGCCTTGCCCATGTTCTTGCCACGCTTCGGGTCAGCAAAGGCCTCCATAGTCATCACGGTGGGCATTGCAAAGCCAAGCAAAGCCAAGATGAGCACACTACAAACCAAGCTGCTTGAGCCAGTGGAACGCTCTCACCACAAACCAGCCAATCGACTCTGCGAAGCTAAATCTGCCGTGATCTTGAGTTCCCAAGCTCTGCAAAACATGTTGCATTATCCCGTGATTTTCTGCAAACCCCAACAGCAACACTAGGACATGGCTCAACAAGAAGTCACACACGATACATTGGAAGAGAATTGAAGAGATGATAATTGTTGCAGAGATGGTAATGGGCATGTCAAGTACATTGGCATTCTTTACGCAAGGTACTTGTTGGGAACCAAGCACCGCATCGTCCAATCGCATCGAAGGAACGCCCATCTCTTGGGAGACACGCTTCGCCACGGAGACCTCAGCGAAGCGCAAGAAGCGAAGCGAAAGAAGCGAAGCGAAACGACCAAAGGAGTCCAAAATGCGTCATAGGCAATGGCCTCCCCTCAAGAGCGATGGCCTCCAACCTAATAGGAATGGCATCCAACCTAATAGGATCACATAATTGCGGGAACATCTCCAAACACATCCGCCTGCTGATCCCTGAAAGAGATAGATCGTGCCGCTTGATGGATCCTGATGTGGTATTTTCTGGAGGACTCAAAAGTAAAAGCACGGACCTCAGGCAGTTCCTCGTGTCAGGCCGTGAGGCCACTTGATAAGAGTGTCTCGGAGAAACCCCGCAAGGATGGATATGAAGATCCTTGTCTAGTGAAGCCAACTGGCATGCTGTGGGCTTTGGCTTAGCCATAATCCAGATATGAGTGAACAAGAAAGCAAAAGAATCAAATCTGACTCAGATCTCACAGGTGCAGGACAAATGGTTAGAATCCCGGTGGCAGCTTTGTCATCAGCAGTCCTTTCAAAATCGAAGAGCGACTCCGCGATTTATGGTCTCCAGCAAAAGCCACGAGATTTCACCAACCCCATTGTGGAGTCGTCTACTGCTAGCATCGGCCCGATTGCCGAGCTCTCATGCAGATCAGGGTGTCGCCGTCGGCTTGCAGCCTGCGCTTCAAAGGAAAAAACAGGTTTTGTATTTTTTCTTTAGACCTGTTTTGATTTAGACGCGTTCTTTGAAAGACCTGTAATGTTTCTTGAGACGGTTTCTCTTTTGACTTTTTTCAGAACCAAGTGCCTTTGTCTTTGGACCCTTTCCCTGGACATGTCTTTTTCTTTAGACCTCATTTACTTAGACATTGTGACAGTGTGTCTTTTCTTCAGACTTGTGGTTTGTCTTTGTTAGACGTGTTGTTTACCTGTTCTTAATTTTTTTTGGACCTTTTGGTCTTTAGACATCTTTTGACATGTTTCCTATGTTTCCTTTTCTAAGGGTCTATGCATCAAAAGAGCCTGCTTGTAGATCTTGCAGGGGTTTCAGACCGATGCAAGTCGATCTACTTGTCCTCCTACGACTTATGACTTGTGACACTTATGAGCGATGTTTGGTGGGGATCCACCGCTTGACTCGTCCCCTCAACTATTCAATCAACCTCTCAACCGTCCGTGGCACCTTCCTGCAGGGCACCGGTCACCAGGGGCCAGTGACAGCCAAACGAAGCCATGGATGCGCTTCATAGCTCCTGGCAAAGACAGCAGAATTCACCAGGTGGTCACACAGCAAATCACATCTTTCTGCATCTTGAGCTGCATTGATAAAACATAATCTGTTGCCTCTACATGTGGTGGTGGAAAGTCCTAACTCCATCCATGTTGAGCCCTGTGACAAAATGATGACAGTCCTGTAATTATCAGCTTCAAGGTTGGAGGCCATCGCTTGTAGGTTGGAGACCATCGCTATTAGGTTGGAGGCCATCGCTAATTATGTATTAGGTCCTTCAGCTTCCCAAAGATGTTCAGCACTCCACGCTCGCCATCGCCCAGGGACATAGCTCATGCACCACCCGTCTCACACACGTCCTTGGAAGTGCTGCATCTTGTCCCTCCCGCCATTCGTCTCCGAAAGTTGGATTCAACGAGAGTCGAGCATTTGGACGAGATCGAAAATGGAAAGTGACATGTGGTTTGAAGACTTGACACGACGAAGTGACTTTAGAGGAAGTCTGTGGCACTTGCAAGCCCCGTTTTCCACTTCCACCTCTTCCACAGCAAAAGAGACCTTGGACATGCACCAAATTCTGAGAGCGACCTCATGGCTGGTTGCAGCATGAACCCTGATCCAATGAAAGCCACAAGTTGGGCGAGGAGCATCTCCCTCCGTACACAAGTGTAGGCACGTGTCTAGAGGTAGACCAGGTAGGCAAAATCTTGAACATCCTTGAACCTTCATAAGAATGTCCGCACCTCCCTGCACCTCCCTGTCATCCAGGTATCTCAGCAGCCAGATCTGTTCCTGACGACACCAAGAGGTGCTTACCCGCAGCGCTGCCTCCGGTCTCAGAGCGGTCGTCTCCTGGGGCCCGTAGCCTCAGCAATTTCTCAAATGCATACAAGGCACTGGTTGGGTCTGATCAAGATGCCCCATGATATTCAATTTGCTGTGTCCAAGTATTTACATATGTAATTATATGAAGCTATCCAAACCTCATGACAGTGTCATGCGCAAGGTCCACAGCCGCCTCGGCCTCCCTGCTAACCACCATGGACCCGACGGTCAACTCCGTTGCTGCACGTTCCTTCACGGCCACTCTCAGCTCTGCTGGCCACACCTGCAAGTAGCTACTAGTAGCAGCGTCCTTGCTCCTAGTAGCGTCCTTGTTTCTAGTAGTAAGGCCAGGAGCCCCTAGTAGCGTCCTTGCCCCTGGTGGCGGCTGTCGAGGATTCAAGACGGAAAGTGTCTAAAGTCACGGTTGAAAACAAACCGCTGGGCAGAATCGTTTTCCAAAGCTGATGGGCCCAAAGCCAACTTGTGGGTGGTGCCCGCAACCCCAGCATCTGATCATGCTTACACCACCCTGCAGCTTCCCTACCCTTTGATTGATCCAAAGTCATCAGTTGAGAAGTATGTGCTCAGCAAGTCATGTTGAACATCCCAAAGGGTTCATTGAATGCCATTTGGTTGCAATCTCCGCCACAGAATCCTCAGACATTCCAACCGACCCACTCACAACTTACCTCGTCATTTAGCCACAGAATGCTGGGCATGTTGGGCGTCTGAAACCTGCGGCAGTTCAGCCGGCCCAACGTTGGGACGATGCACAAACAATCATGATGGAAGTCCACACATGAATGGCATCTTGTCCAGATGAAATTCATCATTGGCAAAGGTATTGCAGCTACAACAAGGTTGCCATGCAGATTTGGAGACGGGCCTGCTGAGATTCCCCTGCCTCAACCTGTGGTGGGTTCAGCATGAAACCTGATTGTAGTTTGGTGATTGTTGCTGTCACTGTGCCTCCCCCAAAGAATGTCATGCAGCAACAAGCCCTTGGCCAAGAGCTGTGTAAGATTATATAATATATCTTTGTACAATTGTTTAGTGCGGTGACAAACCTGACCCTAATGGCCCAAGCACCTCGAAATCAAGGGCGCTTCTGAGGCATCTCCCACCTGGTCATGTAAGGCACAAATCATGTCAAATTTTGAACTATGCAAGTTGAAATTTGGCTTCAAATTTCTGGAGAGCTTCATCCAAACTTGCCTTGAACTCCACAGGGACCTGCAATGGTGCAGAGCAAACGTACTCCTGGGCAGTCTGCACCATGCTCTGCTTCAACAGATCATAGCCTGCAAAATGGAAAGGCTCTGGGCCTCAACAGGTTCGTGCCCTTTTGTGAAGCAAGGCTCTTTGGGCATCAAGAGCTTCGTGTAAGAACCGCCTCAAACGCGCACCTTTTTTAACTCCGACTGGGAAGCTTATCCAGGGGGATTCTCCCACCAAAAGGCTGTCTCCAGGCGGTAGGTTGCAACCTGTTTTTCGGATGTTCCCTGTTCCTGGTTTTTTCTGGAAGTTTACGGACCAAGGAGGTCTCAGGGAAGACCTCTTGTCCACCTTCAGGTTGCTTTACTGCTGCTTATTTCAGGGAGAAGAGTCCACGATATCCATATACTCCTCCGTGTTGCTTGAACTTTTACATGACTAGTCATGAGTAAATGCATGAAAGCCTTCAGTGCACAGTCCTGCTCTGGGCTACGAAGAGAGGACCACAAATGGCAACGTTGTTGTTGTTGTTGTTGTTGTTGTTGCTGCCCTTCAAAGCGGGTCGATGTGATATAGTATATATATATTACTTATTTATAGCACATTCCACCAGTGCCAACCGACTGATCTGCTCTATTGAGTTTCACATGTGAGGTGGGGTATCTAGTTTCTACCCCCGTGAATCAACGTGAAACCAAGAACAACTGTGCAAAAGCAAACGGGAAAGGAAGTTGGTGCACTGAGAAGGAACGACTGAAATGTCGTTGGTTCTTTGGAAGCCCAATTCTACCTCAAAGCTGGGGTGGGGGGCCTCAATGCCTCCCACCAATCCAGATTTGAGCCGATCTAGAATCAACGGTTTTAACTAGATGCACACGTGGTACATGTTGCAAAGAATGCTTTCCAATGTTTTACTCCTTGCCCCAACACTCATGGCTGCCCAGGTACCCCAAACATCAACCGCTATGTGCTTCTCTCAAGGCTGCAGCCCGCCTGGGCATGGAATGCCCACTGCTGCAAAGAAAAGGCAGGTGTATCCTGCAGATAGGCTGGGTACTTCGGTGTTCCTCCAATTGTCTCCCGAGATGTTCTATGTTCATCTATGTTCATCTGGTGCGTTGTGGGTGCCATTGCCCGACCATCCAAAGATCAACAATCAATCCTTGCTCTTCAGCACACCCTCACAAGACGAATCAAGTCAGGATCCATCCGCACACACCACAAGCAAAGCACATCAAGGGAAGTCCCATGAAGTCCCACTTATGCAAGCAGCAGCATCCATGCACGTCTGAATCCATCAAAGCTATTTCGCTCCGCAGACCTATGGAAAGTGTCTCCGACGCAACATGGCAATGCTCTTTTCTCCGACGTCGACGCCTAAGGAGCTTCCCATGATCACCACAGCTGGAGACTTCTCAACGACCTTCACCATCTCAGGGTGGTCGATCACCGCCTGACCGATCTTTGGATCATGTACGAGACGAAGCTGGGTTTGACGGCCGTCCTCTTGTTGTCCAACCATTTGGCCAAAAGCGCCTTTGGCAGGAACTCAGCTCAAACCTTTTCAACCATCAGAACCTAAACAACCCAGTACCATCCCAAATCCATCCTAAATCCCCTTCATCTGGCAAAAAAAACACCATTGCAGAATCCATCGTCTTCAGGCCGATTTGCCGAAACCTTCCAGGACTTGAAGAAGGTCTCCCCGTAGGATGCCGAGGTGACGTCCGGGCCAAAGGACTGGACGGTCTCAACCTATTGATATGACGTGGAAATGTTGTTTTTTGTTAGCCCGCTCCCCCCCCCCGGCGCCTACTTAATTAAGTAGTAGAGACTACCTATTTGTATAATTAAGCAGGGAACTGAGGTAGCTACTAGCTAACTTGTAAGCTACTACATACTGGACTCTGGATGGCTCACGCTTCTTCAAGAAAGCTCCCGCCACCCTAAAGGTGGCGGGGGGAAGCTTCGTTGAAGAAGCGCTCGCACTAGTGATTTGGTTCCTAGGTATTGAGGAAACCTAACTCTCACAATCTTGCTCACGCAAGTCGATTCCACATCAATGACACCGAAAAGAACTTGGGGCGTTCTGGAATAATAGCTTTCCATTGAGTAGCTGTCCTTGTCAGAAATACCATCACCAGGAATCCAGGAGTATCAATCTTGTACAAATAATGGTTGTATAACGTACGGCACTATCTATAACTTGCTTGGGTGCTCTGAAATATTTGTTATCTGCATGGCCGAGGCACGGCCCAAGTCATCAGCCACGAAGGGCTGGCCACCAATCTCCGCAGCTGGCCAAGGGCAGGAGCCAAGTCTGAAGCGAAGGCCTCACAGTCCGGTCAACTCATATGCTTCGCGGCTTCCAGATTCCAGATTGAGTGCAATTGAAAACTTGAAGCTTGTGGAGAGAGGTCCAACACTAAGACAAACGAGCGGGAAAACTAATCAGAACACATCTAGACTGGCCAAACTCTGGTGACTCTGGAAACACAAGGCTTGTCAGATTCCCCGGACACGTCAGTTGTCTTGCACTCTTGCCCTGCCTCAAAAGCGGCTGCCTCGTCCTTAAGTTCTGCTTCATAGATGCGCCTCGAATGGCTGCGAAGCATCATCAAACTGAAGCATGCTCTGGAGTCACCCAAGAACAAAAGGGAACGCAAAGCTATGCAAAGCCTACCTTATACCTCCATTCAGGCTCCCATCATTATGGAGCCTTCAAGGTATCTGTTGTGGACAGGTCGACCCGATGTTGCGGACGCTAAAATAATCAAAACAGAAACCTGACAAAGTCTATCCTTACTCACCCCTTGCTACTATTTCAACGCCAAGTCCAGTCCACACCAGTCCACACAAGGCGGACACACTTGAAAGCATTGAGAACGCCAAGAGTAAACTGTTCGGGAAACTATGCCAAGAATAGACATTGGCAGAAAAGTGGTACCAGCAAAGCTCGCACTACCACAGACATCTAGCAGCAACACCCTGCAACGAGGGCACCTCTTCCTATACTGGAAGTAAGAGCCCCACTAGATCTCCCAATAGTTCTCGTTATCTTGGCGTAATCTTTCCAGATCCACAGGTGTTCCATCCCGAACCACACTGGCAAGCCTGTAGATGACGGTGTTGTTTCCTGTACTTGTCTCGCATGTATGTGGAAAATCCCTTGTGAACTGCTTGCAGGACCCACTACAGAATAAGAAATTCATTGCTTCAGCAGGCACTATTAACCCCTCATGGGTTGCCAGTACCGTGTTAAAAAACACCTTTCGATGAGAGCCCCAGCATACAACTTAAATGCAGGTCCCTTTCCAACCAACAAAGCTAGCTCATGTTTGAGAAAAAAAGATGACTTTCCGCAGAGCATTCCCCCCAAGGCAGGGTAGCAATACCTCCAAAAGAGGGACGACATTGTCTTTTGCCTGAAATAATGATGTAAAACAATATCGGTGATGACAAACTCTCTGCAGAACATGTGTCTGCAAATCGGAACAAAGTTTGTTTCAACTCGAGGGCTCTCCAAAGCAGAAGCAGATGAAAACATGACTCTTGAAGATCTTGACCTCTCAGTCGTGCCCCAGCGGTAAGGTTTACAGCATTAAGTATTCTGCCCTAGGTTCGGTTCGTAGATCATTGCCAGCCGCCGTGGGGAGAGGCCCAACCTCGCAGTGCTATGAGTGACAAGGGCTTCGAATTGCTCTCGGATGGGGAAATGTAAAAGGACCCCTCTGAGTTTGCATGTTACGGCGTGAAAATCAAGCACTGTGGTAGGAAGACTTGATTGATTAAAGCTTCTCGCGTCAAGAACGTCCTTCAAGGTTGGCAGGCCTTAAGCCAAGCAAGCGTCCAAGCATCCAACTTGCATAGCCACATAGCTACAGTCTAAGGATTAAACATTAGGAGTGCAAAGGGAGTGTTGATGAGGAGCTGTCTCCAGTGTCCACACCTGAATTTGGTCAAGTCACTCTTTGGCCAATTCAATCGCCCCGTTCAAACTCTGGCGAGCGGCTTCCAAATCCCCTGCAGGGGCAAGATCAGCATCCATCTTCCAACACAACGAGCCGTCGTGCAAGTACACAACCAATCATGCTACGCTCATACCGAGTTCCAGGTATGGGTGAATCTTTCGTGAAGCTGAAGGCCTCAAACCTGCCTGTCGACTTCTGCAAGCACCGTGTGCTCCTGCCTTCGTGCGCTTCGAGTAGTCCGAGATTCCACCTGATGATGTGTACACGATACGTCGAAGTGCAAAAAACACTTGAGTGCATTCGAGCACGAGCCCCACCTCGCACCCAGGTCATTACCCCGCTGGCGGAGGACCCGCTGAAGCAAGGGCTTTGCCTCTGCTGTGGCACCGCGCTTGGCCAAAAGTAGCGCCTCCGAGGAGACACGAGTTGTCCAGGTTTTCACAGGTGGTTGGTTTGAGTTGGCACTTGCATACATATAGATATTTCATGAAAAATCACGCAACTGCGTTTCTGCAAAAGGGAGCAAGTTACAACTGAGTGGGCTGCTTTTCATGGCACCCCGCAAAACAATTTGCCCAATAGGACACAGCGGTGTGGAAGAGCCAAAACAAGAACACGTTTATATTTATATATAGTTCTTTCAGGGCGCTAGGTCGGAGGCCATCGCTAAGAGGTTGGAGGCCATCGCTCTTAGGTTGGAGGCCATCACTCTTAGGTTCGAGCCCGTTCCTATTCTTTCCGGGCGCTGAGCGATGCTTCCCCGCCTGCCGCATGGCCGCCTCCACGTCTCCGCCTTCTGCGGCGCGTCGGAAGCATCGCTCAGCATCAGCGTAGCGCTGCTGGCGCTGATGATCGCAGCCCAGGGTGAACCACACCTGCAAAGCGGAGCAAAAGCTGTGCAGAGATAAGATTCGTTTCAAGGGTATCTAAGGCTTATGAGACACCCACGCTTTCCGCTTGCACTTGCAGATCTATGTTACATATGTTTTATATTCCTGTACCTCAAAGCAGGGATCGCATGTGAGAGAGTGCAGCTGTCAAACATTATGTATCCGGGAGCTACCTTGCGTGGTCAGTCAATCTGGCACCAGATCTGTAGCGCAGCGCCTGGCTCTGCTTCTGAGCGCTCACACCTGACAAGCTTTGAAATATATACTTCTGCAACCCGAAGATTTATCAAGCATGGTCGACGGTGATATTCTTGCAAAATGCTGCCGTGTGCTTTTCTTCCCGCAGAATCTTTGCTGATGGCCTGATGGCGTACTTGAGTCTGAAGGGCTTAAAAAAGAGACTATATGCCTGGCTTTGCTGCTGGCCAGAACCATACTTTGCTGCCAAGTTCAGCGAAGCCACCCGTCTCCGGTATGTGTACAAAGCAGGAACAGACCTGCTTAAAGAAAAGCAAGTCTGTCTCAAACAAGTTCCTTCTCTTGATATCCAGCTGTATCGAGACAGGCGGGCAACCCCCACAAGCAGAAAATGCTCGGAACGGGACGCTCAACCTTTCTCAATCAGCTCTTCATTGCGGCACTACCTTGCGCCTTGCCGCTCGCCTGGAGCTGACTGGTGGACGATGTCGAATCACTACAAGCCTGACTGCGACTGGCTCAGACAGCAGCAATGGGGTGGGGCCAAGTGTGACTTGGGTACGTACACCTGGCCCGCAGTTTTTCCACATTGTCGGCTGACGATTCTGACCGAAGAGTCTCAGCTCGAACTGTTGATGTCGACCCCATGGTCTACGCCTACGCTGCTTGATCCTTCACTTGAGCCACATGCTCCTCCAACTGAATAGAAGTCTTCAAAGTCTGCATCTGATTTGCAAGCTAGTAAAATCATATGATATTAGAACTTTGAGACATAAGGACATGGAGGTCTGTCTAGTATCAGTTTGATCTCCTTACTCCTTTCCACAAGGATATTAACCTGATTTTCCTGCATACCTATGTTTGCCTCAGAGGCACTCTTCAAGCCTTGAGGGCCTTGAGAGCCTTCAACTCCCCCGCTAGACTGAGAGGCCTTGATTTGTCAGCTCCGCCACCAAAACGTCTTTGGTTTCTTGCCAAAGGCCGTTGGCCTCAAAGGAGCGGACGAGAGCGGACGGCACATGGGTCCGGTGGAGTTGTTTCTTCGCCCCTGAATTAAGTAGGCGCCTACTTAGGTAAGTAAGGGATTAAGCTCCCTACTAAGATGCTACTACCTACCGGACGAAGAAGCGCTCGCACTTTTCATTTGGTTCCTAGATTTTTAGGGTAACAAATCTTAACATCATGTTCTTTGGTTTTGCCTGCAAACACGTCTGAGACCTCAAGTTGGGTACGAGCCGCCGGGAATCCTGGGCTCTTGCTACTGACTTGAACAGGACAACTGATAACTGAAGACTTTGGCCAATACAGGATCGTGTGTTCAGGAATAGAGTCGAGGCAGTTCTTCTGTTGCGCGTCAAGGGCCCTGTGTTATCCAGAAGTGTCCAGACATGCCTTCAAGAGGCCCATTGGGCTGGCCTTGTGCATTGCGGAGTAGTGTGTGAAACTATAACTACATAAAGCCATCCGAAAGTAAATACATGGCCAAGGCCCCGCACCACAGAGGCCAAGCTCCCCAGGAACACCAAGTCATGCGGCACCAAACACGCACAAATGACCTCGGCTGGGTGGAGATCCATGACAGCTTTAGAGTCTGAGATCCAGCTTCCACGAGAAACCTACATGTGAAATTCCAAACAATCCCCGAGTCCACACTACACTTGTGCTCCCGTCGTGTAGCTTGGAGCGCAAGTTGATCGCAAATTGCCAGGCTTCCTAACTAAGGCCGCAGCTGTTAGAAGGAAACCTCACCGCTGTTGCTGCTCTGTCAACTCGTGTTCTTTCCAGGGCATGAAACTTACACTGTTCCAAAGAAATAGTCGCCAGAAAGCATCCCGCAAAAACATGTCCATCTAAAGAATCTGCCGTGCACATGCGAAATTAAGCACCCCTTGGGAAGACCCACGTGGCAATATAGAACAATACTGAGAAAATCCTTGTTTGTGATTGGATCTTCACCAGCACCATGCCCTCTCCAGACAGTGAATCCAAAGTCCCTCCCTGTGTCAGTAAACTTAGTGAAATCAACATTCTCATGTCTTACCCCCCTTCAACTCAAACTCTCCCCTTTCATGGCCTCGGTGCGAGAGCGATCGCCGCTTGCCCATGCTAGACGATGCAAGCACTCAGCGGATCTGGCCAAAACAAGCTGCTGCAGTGCTTTGGATGCCACTCGCATTCCCAAAACTCAGCCTGCCCATTCCGTGACAAGGCTGTGATTGAAGTGAGTAGCGCTGTGTCAGAAAGCAGCTATAGAAGGGGCAGGTTGTGTTTCACGACATAGGCTGGCAGTAGTATGTTTATCAGCACTGATGGCAAACGGCTGTTAGGTTGATGCTTTGCTTGCTATCAATAAAAGGCTGTCCTGCCATGTTCCAATGAGAGCACGACTTGACCCAGTTGGCCATTGAATAGTTGAACTGGACACCAGCCAAAAGCATCTCACACATTCTCACACCATTTTTTCCGCCGCTTTGACGTCTTGCCATTTACAAGGTGTCAAGAATCAAAGCGCCCACGCTGCACGTGATCATGATGCCCAGAATGTCCATGAAGACCTGATGTGATCGGGTCGAGAATGTCTTCTATGCTTGTGCTGAAGTAGTCATCGTTGCCCTCGATTGTCCAAAGAGTCTCCATGGAGTCTCTCCATGGAGTCCAGTCTCCATGTCTTGTGCAAAGCGGTGTGTGGTGCTGCAAAACGGCAACAGCTTGGGCCTGGATCATCGCTGCAGCTTGTCCAGGGTCAGCATTCATCCGCCGTAACCTGGAGCTGCGCAGCTTCGTGCGGGCGCCTTCGGGGGGCCCCTGCGGCCCCGCAAGACTCAAAAATGGCCTCCCACTACGCCTGGTTTCCAGGGCACCCGGGTATTCATGGATCATCCATGGATTCTTCATGCATCTCTCCGATGTTCAAGACCTGTTTTTAAGAATCGAAATCTTCAGTCTCAATCTACCAAGTACCTGTGTGGAAAACATGGATGAAGCCGACTATCGCCTCACTACCCCCAACTCCCTCATCTGTGTTGAAGTAACTTGTCCAGAATTAGGCGGTGCAAGCGGCAATTTCGGCAAAGCAGTGCCGACCGCTACAGCCACAGTTGCAATCAGCAGTGTAGCAGTCGCCAATGTAATGCATGTTTTGATGTCCTTGACCGCGCAGAGATGCCAAGACGAGCGTTCCAAGGTCACAGAATCTCAACAAACAAGCTGACACCATGATGTTCATGTTCATGCCATTGAAAGAACAGTGCCCAGCAAACTCTAATTGTTTCGAATATCTGCAGTGCTGTCAGGGGCTCTAGCAACCAAACAGCAGCTTATCCTTTCAGGATTCTTGTTGAACCAGGATCCTGGTACCCAAACTCTTTGACACACCTCGCAATGTTCAACTTGCTCTAATTGTCCTCACAAAAGATCTCTCTATATACAGTATATATTATATATATATATATATGAATTTTTGGACTCTGCGTAGCACGACTCCAAGGCACACTCCGTGAGGCCAAGCCCCGAAGGAAGGACAAGGGAGCCAAGACCATGCCGATCAGCAAGCCGGTTAGTAACTGATCCCTGGACCAGGGTGATTCTCACAGATGTCGACCCCCTTCCAACCCCTTCCAACCTAGACTACATCTGAGTGGAAGGTGAAGGCTCGTCTATTTCACAGATTGACCTCTCGCAACTCAAGACTGTCAGGTTGGATTGCATCAGTGTGTATCAGAAGAATATGAAAGCCAAGTTTGTTGGTAGATTGCGTTGCAATTGTAAAACTGACAAAGTGATCCATGCCGTGGCAAACTTCTATGGAAGTGTTCCTGCCCACTCAAATGAGCTTCATGATTCCTCGTGACCGTGTGCCTCACTGCGATGGGCTCGTGTTGAATCAGCTTCCGGCAGGTGAGCAGCACACTTTGCCCACCGGTGTTGCCTGCAAATGCGATGCATGACGTCCTCTTATCAGTGCCGAAATGCCAGGAGCACGCAGGGCAAATGTGCATGGCTTGCCACTTGTGCACATGTTTGACCCCAATCAGTTCTGCTACAGAAAGGGTTGAGCGAAGGACATACGCTACAAGATTACAAGATTATGTCGATGGCGCAGCGGTTTTTTTGAATGGATCAACATCTTACTAAACTGCTGCATCTCTCTGTGCGTGGTGCATGTTGCTGCATGTTGGTGACTTTGATGCATGTAATTCACAACTCTTAGACGACATGCAGCCACCAACTCTTCGACATTGGTCAAAATGGTAGGTGTCTGAGTATCCCTGGAAAAAAAAAAAAAAAACAATCGAGGTGAGTTCATACGTCAGCATGGTGAACCAGGTAAGGCCTCCTAGGCCGACCAGCATGGTGAGGAAGAAGATGAGGTCTGTGTTCCTCGCCGAACGTGGCTCGAGCCCATCCACGTTCGCAATGATGATTGAATACTTACACGGATTCCGTGATGTGCGTCGTAGCACAGTTCCACCGCACCGTTAGCTTAATTGGAACCAAGATTGATGTGAAACCAACATTGTGTGGAATTGGCCAAGCCGCAAACCCCTCTACTGCTTATCCTGCACGGGCTGGTTGGTCTGAGAGTCCCACTTCCGGACCAAGACTTCGAAACGCGACAAGATGATGCCAGAGATGCTCCTGCATGCAGGATGACAGGAGGGAGATGGATATTATGTAAAAGGTCAAGCTTCGTTGGAAAGGAAACACTTTGTCTGCTCTTGAGAGGGCAGCTGCACGTGCTCCATGCTCCACCTATCCATTCTTTGTGCTGAAGGCATCCAGGCCGACAGAAAAGTCAATATGCTTGAAGGGATGAGATGTATCTCTATTCATAGAGATTACGCCTGGTGCGAATCTATCGCTGGGCTTCCCGACTGCAAGAGCAACATTGATGCCAGCCAGCCGGCACGTGGCCAAAACTTGTTGAGCGTCTCGACCTGATTTCGGACGCATGGATCCAATGAATCTTCCAGCTTTTTGTTCATTTTTATACATGAAATTGTGAAAGGGTGAGAGATCAAAAGAGGTTAGATCAATAGAACTGCCTTGTGTTTTTAAGCCGCAGCCCTGTGAGCCACCTAGTCTCACTTCTCAGTGCCTGGACCTGGCTGCCTACCACTGAGAATGTCCGCAGCCGCAAGAGCTAACATGAGCCTCCGACATGTATGAGTAACACATGAGGTGGAGAGGAAAGAACTAGACTGGCCAAACCTGATTGAAAAGTGTATTCTAGCACTTGGAACCTAAAGTAAAACTGGATCTCCTTGCAAAATGGTCTTCTCGCTTTCATATCTGCAGGGGCACGGCACGACCGGTCGTGCCGGGGAGCAGGGTTGATTGATGGCCTCTCCCTCTATACATCCATCTCTCATCCAATGCCAACATCGATATCGCCAGTGGCAGAGCCAAACTGAATAGATAACTTGTCTGTGACATGGGAGCACCGGGCAGTAGCTGTGGCTCAAAACGTTAAATACAGTACTCTGTAAATAGGATGTATATAAGTGCTGTAAGTGGCTTTTTGTGGTAGATGAAGTTGCAGGGACTTGTGAGATCATCCCACTTCTGGAAACCACGCCTCCTCGCTCGTGGGCGATTGATCCAAGTGCGGGTCTACAGTGACCTCCCAAGCAGTGGGGAAGACTTCTCTCTTGGACTACCGCGGTTTGCCAGTGCACCAGTTGCACCACCGCAATTTGTTTCATTACAGCCTGAAATCAAGTTGGTGAGCAACAAGGCTTCAGCAGGCATTAAGGACCTTTTGCATTCAGATTTGGCCTGTCAGTAGGCCTGTGACTTTTGATATGCCTCGCTTAGCCTACTTTCTGCACCCTGCCTCGCTTGGCCATCCACTCTCTTGAACATGGCTTTATTCTCTCGTGTGATGCCCCTCAATGTGCCTCGCACTCTGATCTCGGCTCTGGAGGAACAAAACGTAACACCTTGATGCCACAATGTCATCGGGAGGGAAGGAGAGAGGGGACTGGCTTCAACAAAGCTGCAACTTCCTACGGTCTCGACTCCTACGGTACATTGTACGGGGTAAAGAACAGTCATTGCATCGACAACACCTAGAGAGAGCCCGTGACTGACACGTGAAAAATCACAGGGCCAGGAGGGAAAGCGCCTGGCATCCCATGAGCAAGGCCATGATGATGCCACAGCTCAGGACCTGTTTTCAACTGCTAATATTACATCTCAACTATACGAGTGGCAATGTTCGACAAAGCAACAAAGTTGGTAATTACAGCGGTACGGTCGATTAGTTGAATAACATTGCTCATCTGCATCAAGAAACGATTCCCCGTTTCAAAGATAAAGAAACAAGTTCAGGCTTGGCCCGTGCGAACGGCCATGTCCCTTCCCCGCCCCGAAAATGACGCCAGAGAGAAAGTCGTGATTGCTCCAACGCCTTGGAAGTGCAACGAGGCATTTGCAGCACAGGCATTCCTCGTTATTTCCCTTAAGCAAGGTCTTATTGGGTAGAACGAATTCCTCTCTTCTGTTGTGGTTACTTGGAAGTGTATGCCGATAGCTATGTAGCTACACCGCACTTGTTGAGGACCAATATTTGACAAATGCGTCAGCAACGTTCCCAAGCTCGACACACAAGGTTTGTGGGATGGAGGAAAAAGGCTGGAAGAGAGCAACTACATCACGGAGGTTTGTGGGATGGAGGAAAAAGGCTGGAAGAGAGCAACTACATCACGGAGGTTTGTGGGATGGAGGAAAAAGGCTGGAAGAGAGCGACTACATCACGGAGGTTTGTGGGATGGAGGAAAACGGCTGGAAGAGAGCAACTACATCACGGTAGGTTGGACACAAATGAAATATCCTCAAACATCATGTGTTTAAATAAGTGTGTGGATTTGTTACAGTACTCGAAGCCCGAGCCCTCGATATTGGAGCCCTTGAAGGCTGCTTGGCAGGGTCACCAGCTCCAAAGACTGGTTGAAATGATCTGCGAAGCTCAAGTGCTCAATGCTGGGGAGCTTCACTCGTTCCAAGCTTTGCTTGAAGTTGGTACCAAATGCGATGCTCTGAAGATATCTTGGGAGGACCACCTTGTCTAGGCTTTGATTGAAGTCATTGCCAAATCTCAAGCTTTGCAGTCTGCTTGGGAGATCGACGTATTGCAAGCTCTGGTTAAAGTCATGACCAAACACTAAGTGCCGGAGGCTGCTTGGTAGGTTGACACCTTCCAAGCTCCGGTTAAAGTGATAGCCAAAGGTCAAGCCTTGAAGGCTGCGCGGCAGATTCACCTGTGTCATGCTGCGGTCGAAATCGGCGCCGAAGGTGAGATCGCGGAGATTCTCTGGAAGCTGCACCCGATCCAAGGAGTGTTGGAAATGATCGCCAAAGACTAACTTCTGAAGGCTGACAGGAAACTGCAGGCCCTCCAAAGGCTGATCAAACTTCGCTCCAAAGGTTAAGCTCAGAAGCCCTTCAGGCAGACTTGTAATGGGTTGATTGAACTCATGGCCAAGTGTCAGGCTCTGGAGGGTTGGAGGAAAATCGAGATCTTCCAACTTCACATTGAAGCCATTGCCAAAGGCCACAGCCTTGAGGCTGGGAAGCCTTAGATCCCTCTGAAAACCATACCCAAAGCTCAAGCTCTCAAGGTTTGAGTGACTCAGAACCCACATGCTCTGGCCCACTGACAAATGTCGTAGGAAAGCTAAGTGCTTCAGCAGGAGTTCCTGCTTAAAGTGATAGCCCAAAACCAAGCTTTGCAGGTTGGGGAAATCCACACGGTCCAAGCTTTGGTTGAAGTCATTCCCAAATATCAAGTTCTCCAAGGTCAGCGGGAAGTGCACCTGCTGCAAGCTCTGATTAAAGTGGTACCCCAGAGTCAAGCTTCTCAGGCCCTTTGGCAGGCTCACATGCTGAAGACTCTGATTAAAGCTGGCACCAAATGTAATAGTCTGCAATTCATCCGGAAGAGTCACAAATTCCAAGCTCTGATTAAAGTCGCGTCCGAACGTCAAGCTTCGAAGAGTCTTGGGCAAGTTGACATGCTCCAAACTCTGGTTAAAATCTGCACCAAAGGTCAAGGTTTGAAGACGGATTGGCAAACTAATGCCCTCCAAGCTGCGATTAAAGTGAGAACCAAAGGTCAAGTTCTGCAGGCTTTGTGGGAGATCATGCAAAGGTTGGTCAAAATCATGGCGGAAAGTCAAATCCTCAAGGCTGCTGAGGTCCTTGACTTGCACAATGCTACTGATTCCTGCCACCTGCTTCACTGCCTCAAGGCCAAACTCGGCCACAGGCTGCTCCTTCTCTTCCATGAGCCAGCCGGCTAGCAGCTTCCAAAGACTGTAGACCTTTGTAGGCACATAAACGTAACTCAATGAACAGGAAGAAGGTAAGCCTTGTTCTCTCAGTGTCTTGTGAAACTCCAGCATCACCTCTTGGTGCTGAAGCAACCGGACTGCCATGGCCTTTCGGGGCAATCGCTTAGCCACCAAGGCGTGGAGCTCGTGACCGCGGAGAAGGTCCGGGACGGAGAACTTCAAAATCAAGCCATCGAGGCCTGTGAGTTCCAGCTCCAGTTCGCTGCCCATCAAGGCCCGAAGTCGGAAGGATTATCCCCAAGGGTCGAGGTAGCATTCGATCCGGCCTGGAGTGATGCCTGGTGTCGTACAACAGGAAAAAAAGAAGTGGTAGGTGATTACAGTGGTTACACGTGGTTCTGGAGTTGGTTGATGGACCAACTTGCGTGTCGCAGCTTCGGTATATTTGAGGAGAACGATCAACGACCAGCTCCAACGGATAGTGCCCTAGGGATCCATCATGACCCATAAGTGTGCCTTAGAAGTTGGCCATCACAATGTTTCGCACTTCAACATACAGAAAGTGCCCAGAGAAGTCCAGACAGGGCGGATCTGTCATCGGTTGTTTGACTACATGTGACTTACAACCTGTAACTGAGCAGCTTAGTTGTCAGGGAGGTTTCTGGACATCCACATAAAACCTTCAAAAAACAAAGGGCCAGAATCAACAACAGCCTGCCAAAATTTGGAATGACGGTACAAAGTGTTTCAAGGGTGAGCAGTAGTCAACTTGTCAACTGTTCTTGAGCGTTAACTATTCGCTTGAGCCCGCAAGCAGCCATGGCCTTCAGTTCAACTTCATAAGCCCTGCTCTCCCCTTTTTATGCAAAGCTTGGCGGCTTTTCACCAAAAATTGTATATGTATATGTACTGTATAAACTTCTCTGATAGCGAGCAGTTCCCAAATTTGCTCAATCGGTAGGCATCCACCCCTTTCCATGGCTCAAGGGCCGGGAGAGTCTAGTGGCTATGACGCACCAGATCCGGGTTCAATCCCCGGGTGCAACACTAGGCGGACAGGTGGGCCACTACCCCACTCCTGCAGCTAAGGGGATGAGCTAGGCTGTGGACCGTTAAAGCACAACCTTTCCAATGCTCATTTCAGAGCATATCCAAGAGAAAGGACCAGTTTGGCTCAAGCAAAACGGACCATGTTCAACAAGGGCATATCTACAGTAGACTTTTGTATATAGCAAGTTTTTGCAAATCGCATATGTTCAGCCTGTTGAACGTGGACTCCCCATTTCTCGTGTAAACTGTCCTTCGGCAAGGCTTCTCTATGCTTCGCGGCTTGTTTCTGGGGCTCCAAACAAATCACTGTTGGTGGGCACGAAGCGATTCTGGAGAGGGCACAGCTTCTATGTGTTTATTGGCGTGAATTCGATACACGTCACCAGCATGTCATGTTGGTGGCAAGTAATGTCTCAGCTTCGCTAGACTACATATTCACGTGTGTTTGCTCTTAACAATGACTTCTAGTAGCTGAGTGATGCCCAGCGGTGAGAGGCTACCACCGATTGATACTTCATTGTCAAATGCCATGAGGATCCCCGGATTGCCACTGAAAATCTGATAAGAATAACCCTGTCCTTCAACTTGGTGATCGGTTAAAGAAAAATAAATCCCACTGAGTAATGTTAAATTGATGTATATATCTGCGTGGGAGGGTTAGCACAATGTTGGCAAGTGACTTGATCAGAATCAACGTCCAAAATCCAACAAAACGTGGTGTTAACGGCCAGGTCCTCATGTCTTTCCCGGACAGGATAGAATTCAGGACCCCCCCCTTGCAGCTTTGGAGCCCTGGGACTGTGTGGGGGTAAAAAGCTGCCGATTTCGGACTCTGACGTGGACTTGAGGCGATGGTTTCTTCATTTTTCTCAAAACTGGGTCGTTCGTTCAGAACTTTGGACCTTTCATTGTGTTCCTTCCTTTCTTTCTTCCTTCCTTTGTCCCTTTTTCAGACATTGCATCTCTACCCTTAAGACGGACCCAGTGGCGCCTCCACGGCTTGTAGTGAAGCTGGCTCCGCTGGCGGGCCTCCCATAATCACGTGTAATGAAGGGTGTGTTTCGCATCAATCGGGTGTTTGGCCGACTGTACACCATGATGCTTGAACCACTAATTACAGGTTATGTTACAACAAGGCGGAAGCAAATGCCTGGAAAGGTCCCCCCATCCCTTGGTGAATTGTGAACAATGTCCTGCCAATCATCCTTGACTTGCAATCCATGTCTGCCCCATTCAACGCCCTGTTGTCAAGCCGCCTTTCCCGTCCATGCGGATGATATTGGCCCATGAGAGGACCTTGGGAATTCACAAGCATTCAAAGATTCTGCTTCAAGATCCGTGTCCAAATCTGTTCAAAGCCTCCAACCAAATAGCGACGGGCCTCCAACCTAGTAGCGATGGCCTCCAACCTAATAGCGATGGCCTCCAACCCAATAGGGATGGCCTCCAACCTAATAGCGATGGCCTCCAACCTCGTAGCAATGGCCTCCAACCTAATGGCGATTGCCTTCAACCAAATAGCGATGGCCTCCAACCTAATGGCGATGGCCTCCATCCTGATAGCGATGTCCTCCCACCTAATAGCGATGGCCTCCAACCTAATAGCGTCGCCTCCCACCTAATAGCGATGGCCTCCAACCTAATAGCGATGGCCTCCAGCCTAGTAGCGATGGCCTCCAATCTAATAGCGATGGCCTCCAACCAAATAGCGATGGCCTCCAACCGATTAGCGATGGCCTCCAATCTAATAGCGATGGCCTCCAACCTAATAGCGATGG